ATCGGACAGGAAACAACGCTGCTCTTATTGTATCTTGGAGTCAGTTATTCCGCGGTACCTTTTTTCTAGCACCTTTGCTTAGACTTTACCTGGGAGGCTCAAGAACATAATGCTCTTATAATTAAGGCACTAATTGTGGTCTCCCTTCTTGAATAGGGGTACAACATCTCACGTTCTCCAGTTCCCTGGTGTCTTCCCCGTATTCATTGCAGCTTGACAGGTCTGTGTAAGCCAGCACATGCCTTGTTCACCTAATGCCTTGAGCATTTAAGGGCGGATTTCATTTTTTCCAGGAGCCTTTCCATTTTTCAAGCTTTACACAGCTTGTGTAATTACATCTACAGAGATAGTAATATCCGTGCCCTTCTGCTCTATAGACGAGTCTTCCTGCGGTTGCGCGGGGTTGAAGAGTTTCTCAAAGTACTCCCTCCATCGCCGAAGAAAGTCATCATCCTTGGTAATAGGTTGCCTAACCCTGTCCTTAAAGACTCTGAGACTGCCATTTCATTTCATCTCGGAGCCGGCGAATGGTCTACCAGAATACTTTGTTTGCCGTGTAGAAATTCGGCTCCAAAGCCTCACCGAACTTCTCCCAGGAATCAGCTTTGGCTTTCGCCACTGCTTTCGCTGCCGCCTTGCATGCCTCGACATATCGCACGCAAGTATAGGGCTCTTTGTTTCCAAGGCATTTCTTCAACGCTACCTTCTTCTCTTTAACTGCCAGTTGTCCCTGTCATGTTCACCAGAAAGTTCTTTTCTCATCTCCAGGCGGCAGGCCAACCCGTTCAAATTCGCAGCATTCGCCGGCAGTCTCTACTATGCTGCTCTTAAACAACTGCCACTCGATTTCGATATCAGTGGTCATCAGCGGGATCTGTTCAGACCGTCGTACGAAGTAGTTTGCAAGTTTCCCTCTCATAGCTGTCGAAGATAATGTTTCCCATTTGATTGTCGGGTTGCTTCTGCCACTTGATCGTCGCATGGTACTCCATTTCTCACATTGTAGCGTGCCTACAGCAAGGTGGTGATCGGTTGGCCCCTTTGTGCCTCTTTTGACGCGATGTAAGTGAGGCGATACGATTATCTAATCAATCATCGACTTCTGGGCGCACGCTTCCCTGTGCCAGGTATACTGATGCACCCTGGGATGCTTGATGAAAGTGTTCATAATAGACGTTCCGTTGTTTATACAAAACTGCAGCAACTTCATGCCGTTATTTTTGAGGTCGCTAGGATCGTTCGTTCCAATTATACCTTTCCGTATGTCTGTGTCTGCTCCGACGTGGACGTTGAAATAGCCATTGGAAATTAGGGAGTCTTTAGTCGGCACTTCCTGCAGAGCACACTCCACTTCCTCAAGAAATGACTGAATATCTCCCTCTAAATTTGACGCATAGGACTGTATGAAGGTCTCCTCTTGAGGTAGCTTCATTCAGAGGATTGCCACTGTTCCAGTGACAGGCTTCCGTTCGATGTTTCTTACAGAACACGAATGCCAGTCTGAGCGCGCGTTCAGACGTCGGCACCTGAGAATAGCTTCCACTCTCAAAGGTTCAGAATTCTAGAGCCTTGGCGTTTTATTGACTAGAGTTCAACTATGTCCAGTTTTTCTTTTTGCCTTCTGCAACTAGCTCCTGCGCTTTCTTTCTCAGTGAGGATATGTTCCAATTTCTTTGTGTAAGCTCTCACTGTAAGTGTAATTCCCGTAGATCCTTATCTGACATGCTATAGTGCAGTCGCGCTGTATGTTTCCTCCGTTCAGAACAGGTAGCGGCTCCACTTATATTTTCCTCGTCATCTTATGGACGTTCATCAGCCGTTGTGGTGCTGCTGCGGCCCAGGCTGCCAGAAAGCGGTGAAGACGTTCTTCTGATCACCGACTTTTCGCAGGTTACTTTAGTCCTCGAACAGCTTGTGCAGTGCTTTGTGACCCTCACGTCGACGGAGCCAGTTTGATGTTCGATGCCTACAATATCACGAGGAGCAGGCGGGTAGGTTTTACAAAGATCTATTCTCAGTCTCAAACTCTCCTTTTTGAGCCGCGCTTCTTAGCGACACAGTCAGGGTTACTTTGGTTCATGATTAGAATAAGCCTATCATGCATCCGTTGGATACGAAACATTGTTTTAGAAAACGAATTTACAGTCGCTCTATGTAATCCATGCTTCTGTTTAAATCTATCTGATTCTGATTTGCGATTCAGGGCAACAGCGAATTATGGTTGGTGTTAAAATTTTCTACTTCTATTTTCTTTTCTTTTTAATTTTAACTATTGCTTTTAGAAATTGTCCATTTTGCACCTTACCGCTTCTCTCAAAAGTGTCCAGTAGTCGAGCGAAAATTCTCGTTTTCGATTGCGGTGAGTATTTTATACAGTTTCTCGCTTTTTTGAATCTCCCTTTTCTAAATGTCAAACGTACAGTTGTGTGTTTAGAACATTATTAAAAGTTATGATTTCTTATCTCTGATGATAGCTATTCTGCACGAGATCTTTTCCATCTTTGGTACAGGCCAAAAACGACAAATTCTTTTTTTATATTCTGATTTAAATGAATATTGAATTTGACTACGAAGCTGATGCTTATTCCAGTGAATGTCTGCGTTTTTCTCTTATAATTCTTTCTTGCTGAAACTTTCTATTATTTAAGATCGAATGGTTTATATATCTTCATCTTCCATCGCCGCTTCTCCTTTCGGGTCGCGGAGGCAGACGCGTCAGACAGTGCT